CAGCAGCAGAAGCTGCGTTGGTTGAAACATGTGTTACGTATGCTGAACCATCGTTTGCCGAAGAGCGTGCTGTTTTCCATGCCCAATTTAGAGTGGCGTAAACAGAGAGGTGGGCAACCCTTGACTTGTCAGAGGAGTATGAAGGAGATCAAGAAACGCTTGGGTTCTACTCGCCTTCCAGGATGGGGACCGCGTGATCCTCACTGTGCCTGGTTGGAGACACTACAAGATATGGCTGCCAACCGATGTCAGTGGCGTTCTTGTTGTCGGTTTCTGTCCAGATTGCCTGAGTGAATGTCTGGAGGTGTAGGCACCTCGGAATGATTGTGTTAAACTAGCACTAACTCCCTTCCCCGTCCACCTTTATTCTTTTCTTTACAATAAGGCTTTCAAATAAGTCATGGTTGTACGGCAGTGAAGCATCGGTGTTGAACACTGACGTCATGCTGTCAATGATGATGATGATGATGCACGAATGGCTCACAGACTTCCACTGAACATCATAGTGATGGTTTTAAGACCAAACTTGGTCTCAAAATGGCTGCTACACAATCACTTGCTATATAAGACTACGGAAAATTTAATAAGTATGGAAAAGGTTAAAATAGAATTGCTACGAATACGTTGAAGACCTAGCTTTCAACTCCTTACTAACACCGCAATCAGACACCCAAAAGTGGAATGCTAATAGTGTGTTGCTTACCGTCACTTTACTAGAGGGTGCATCAGAAGGCTACCCATTTGCTTGGTGACTTTTCCGTCATGGCCTGGGTAGCGGTTGTAGGAAGTGCAAATTTCGTAAACACCAATTCAAGGAAAACAAAGGACACGTGGCGTGTCCTACGGAACACCACATCTGAGCAGCTGATCAAACGTCGCAGCTGGTGTTCCAATAAGAAATTCGATAATGCAGCCAGAGACTCAAGCCCAAGACTACAACCTAGTGAATATTTTAACCAACAGCAGTAATGAAGTGATTAAAATGCTCCCCGACCAAGATTGAGTGTCTAGGAAGTGGATATTAGTGCAAATTTTACGTACTTATGTAGCCCATGAGCCTAATGAATTTCTTAGCAGTGCATGGTGGAAATATCTCTAGTCTAAGACTGTAATAAAACTGAGTATTGGAGTATTACTTCAGAAGATATACAGTGTGTCGTAAATTGAGGGAAAATAAACATAACTCTGAAACGCACTGCAGTGGAAATAATACATTTTACTCACCACGTGTCTGCTGATAATAGTTCCTCAGATGGAACCACTAATAAAAATATTTGCAGTATTTCGTTATTTCTAATAAGTTCGATCGCCCGTCTCCTGCGGTAGATCACTAGTAATGGTCGGCATTTGGTGCTTGAAACTTATATTAACGCTGCTATTCTTGTGTCACACACTGGTGTGTTATGCAAAAAAACAACCTGCTCCGTATTGTGCTCAATGAAATCGGCGATCCTCATCTAAAATGAACAGCATCCGTTTCTAGATACAAGCTGTTTTAGACATACGAACAAATTGGACAATATTGACAATGAAGGGATGATTGGTATTGGTATTTTGAGCAAGAAAAATGGGAATAACCAACCCCAAACATAGATGTAAATTGTCCGAATTATTGATTGGGATTATGTACGCCTTCTGAAATATGACATTTGACAACTGAGCAGAAGTTGTAAAATATAAAACGATAAGAATCCACATTTGTTGAAATCGATTTCCCTTAATCCTCTTTAAAGTTTTTCCAGTACAGTCGAAGAAAAATTGGATTAGTTAATATTGTAAGTGTGGGATTGTGCCAGGTTTGTCAATGGTGATATTTTTTATCTGAATAAGGCACCAGATGAAAGTCACAACTGCTTTGCTGAATAGAGTAAACAAAAATTGTTTGGCAGTATTGTGGGGAGGTCTGGAAATTTCACTGGATTTCATTACGCAAGCACAGTCAGCAAATGTTGCGTTTCTCTTTCACCTCGTTGGAAGCCACAAGCTGTGCACGCTCATGAATCTGAAGGGAGATTTTGACACGGGACGTACAGCTCAGAGCGGAATGTATCTCGAATTTGCATATGCATTCTATCCCAGAAGTCATGCTTCTAAGGGCCATTCGTTCATGTAGCCACGTGGTGTGGATTTTGTGACTGAAGAATACCCAGCACTCTATCCTACATAATTTGGGAGCCAGTCACAACACTGACAAGAAACTTCTGTTTTCCGTTTTTAGGAGTAGTTGTCCATGAGCGGAAAGTCGGTGACTAGAACTCTTCCAGAGATCCGTAAGATGTACACTACGAAAAACTCCCAACGACGATAAGAAAATACAGCACTTTAGTATTTTTCACTGGACGGTACCTGAGGAATTAGCCAGATAACATACTCCCTCGCTGATCACCAAAAGGCTTCTGAGTTTTTGTGCAACAATTTGAATAGTTTCGAAACCATCAATGAATGACGACATAAAGTGCTTATCTATTATGTATGGCAGTATACTGCAGTGTCTTCCAGCCTATTGTTTCGAAACAGAAGCATGAAGGTCGGTACAAGCAGTCTAACCTGGTCCTGGGAAGCCATTCTCAAGTGCACACATGAACTGTTTTGTCAAAGAAAGCCATCTTTTGCGCCCAGAGCCCGTGAATAAAGAGCGATGTAGCGATGGCATTTGTGATTGATTTGGGTTTAGGATAAACAAGAAAAACGTAAATGCCCAATCAAGTATCATGGTGTCCCTGTTAACTGGAATAGAAATATGTAGTACTATGGTCAGCTTAGAAGAGGCAAGTTGTCTGCTATCACGAATAACCTGTGAAATCATTGCGTCCAACTGAGAGCACAAGGTTGCTTAAATTAAAACTCCATGATTACAGACAGCAATAGATTTGACGTCACGCTACAAAACGTTTGAGTCGCAATAACTAGTAACTGTGGTCTGACCGATGTTTTAGTTCACGCAAATAGCAACGGTGATTGAGTAATGAGTTCAATTAGTCGAAATTTCTGTCACTCCGATCACCCAGATGATCTCGCTTATAAAGTAACATGGTACAGATTAGTAAGTTTGCTTGCGTGTAAAAGCACAGTGAGTTGTACCCAATGTACCAGAATAAGCGACTGAGGGGTGCACATGCTCACTTTCACTGCATTTGCACGTTCCTTTGCATAAAACCTACCGAGTGAAAATCTCGATCAAACGTACAAGGAAAAAACTATTGTTCGGTATGTGCAGCCCGGTCGTGCTCAGCTTTTCGTACTGGAATTCTATTTGGAAAGGATTAATGGGCATGGCGCCATAGTGCCGAGTAAATGTGTAACGAATTCATTTCGGTTGCTTTTCAGCTTCCGGCGCTTTAGTGCGAATTACTGACCACTGCCCCATTCACGACTGTACTTGCCTAGTGTCCGGGATAAATCTAATAAATTAGAATCCACCAGTTGTGAATCGAGATACAACAACAGATGGGAAGACTGAAAGGCCCATTTAATTTCCGAAACTCCTGCACGTACAACCGAAAAAGAACTTAAATGCTTACGCAACGGAGGGTGAAATTCTCTCAGGGACCACCTAGAATGTTTATACCTTGGGGGTGGTAATGAAGTAAAACTACAAATTCTGTTGGATGGTAGATGAGCCTGTCTGAATGAAAGATACGTAAGTGTACCTTACTGTGTCACATCGTCGAATATCAGGAGAGAGGTGGGATTATGCTTTGCAGGAATCTCCTGGTACTATAAGTCAACTCATGAAATAAATGAGTACGTCCTTCTAGAATAGAATGTGGTTTTAGGAATCAAACGTCAATTCGACTGCGTCTGTATTCAAAAGAGTACGTGCGAGAGGTTTGAATACATACTCCTATGAGACTGTTTGTAGGGCGTTAGGGTCGAGCGACTGCTTTTCATAAACGGCTGTGGGCTTGGGAGAAGACCAGCTTATACTGTGTTCAAAGTAGATCAGATTGTGGTAGACTGAAATTACTCAGATCAGGAAGCTCACGTTGAATGTTTGCTGTCCTATCTTTTGAGCTAAAGCAAGTTACTTTTTCATTCATTCATTTTGGCTTGTTCCATGCTTAACGCATGAAAGTGTTTTGCCATCACCACATTTTAACAACATCGTTACTAGGTTTTTGTCAACAAACCTGAAAAATCGCAGTATGCACAATCTGTTACTCTGGATTTTCATACCACTTACCTGATGGATAATCATTTTAGAAAAACAGAATTTGCTATTTTGCAACGATGCACCGCAAATTTCCAACACAGACCTCTCCTTCAAAAGCCGTAATTTTGGAGTACGTTTTGTGTTTGCTCATTTCATGTTGAAGGTTTGTTGAAATTTTCACAAAATTTGTATGAACGTTCACCTTCCAAACAAGATGAATGAAAGAACCTATTACATATCCACGCTGGTAACCTCTTACAGAGTGCTTGGAAAGGCGTCTGATGTATAAAAGTGCCATTGGAATATGGTTACTGTTATTCAGAAAAGACCTTATAAGTTTTTACGTAGTTGACATCACGTTTCAGCGTCCCAAGCAACGATGGAAGCAATGCTGACATCACTTAAGTGGCCTCACTTTGCACTGTTTCTGATACCGAGCAGAATTAAATTTGCAGATTTCACACAATACACCAATTACTTTTTTCCGGAAGAAGTAGAGGACAACAGATTATCACCCCATGTAATGGACCCAGTTCAACAATACAAAAGGTTAAGTCAGTGGTTGTAGTAAGCATTTTCAACTTTGCACCTGCGGGAGTACCAAGTATTTATACCGGTGTAATATTAGTTGCCGGTAAGTTTTACATAAGCGACGAGCCCCTTCTGCTGTCTAATAATCTATGTTCCAATGGCCCTCTGTCCAAAAGAGCCATATAATCGTGCAGCGATTACAAAAAATGAGATTACATCAGGATTGATCCCTTCAAACCTAGATTTCTCCCACAATGTGATCGATTTCTTTATCTTTCGAGGATACATGGGTTAAGGGGTACTTCTTTGAAAGCTACAGTCAAGAAAAACACGTCTTGTTGACTCTTGGGACCTGCCACGGTAACCGTTTCTTAACTCGGACCATTTATTTGGTGTGGGTTTCAGGAATCAAGGAAGATACGTCCACTTTGGTTAGCGGGAATTTCAAATCTTGTTTTCCACCATAAAAATACATCTAATATTTGCAGTGCTGTTTTTGATCAGCGGAATATTTGAAGTGGGTTTTAAGTTAATAACACCGAGTGGAGGTTTTAGTAGGTAGACATTGATATCCGTGTTTTATACTGTTAATCCGGATCAGTTCCACTCGAGCTACATATCCCATAAACACCGCTTGAGGTGGAAGAAATCACTTGTGATCTCTCCATCCTCAGATAAGCTATGTAGAGAGTTTTGTCATAGTAAGTGGAATATTGCCCATATTGTCAACATCAAAAGTGACTATCACTGTTCGTAAGTCTTTGTAAGCTTTTTTAGAAAACCGAATTAAAACCAAACAAACAACAGCTATCA